GACACAGTTTATCTTGATATTCCTTGATGCCTTAAAATGGCTATTTTGCTTAAACGGACGAAGTTTTTATTTATTTATAAAAAAACTTTTTATAGCCTTTCAGTACCATCATGATATCCTTGCAGGGCTTCCTGAAAGTATACATTGCTTTAGGACTTTCAGCAATCTGCCATGGCGGACAGATCCAGTACAGTAACTGTTGCTAGTGATGGGTCAGCAACTTTCTTAGAGCCTAATATCCTAATAGTTCCTACAGAAAACAGAACAATTTCATTTTATGGATCGAAAAACCTGTGGACACAAGAAGCAGTTTCCACACTGAGAGAAAAAATGTTGTAGAATCATTCAAAACGATAATAATTCAAAGGGATTCAAATATGTTTTGGCGTCATTGATGTTTCCCATTAAATTAATAGGTTTATAACAATTGTATAATACATATCTTTTTGAAACAACGTTGAGAAAGGCAATGAAATAAATAGATTTCTTTTTGTATATATACTTTAAAGAGGGTACACTTTAAAAGTGTTTAAAAACATTGTAAAACTGTTGGTAAATAAATATAAAACTACAAATTTTTCTATTTGAATCAAATTTACCCGATTATTTAAATTAATAAAATTTCATATGCTTTTCATGACATGATATTTCTCTGAGTGCAGAATTTATTTTTATTTAAAGTTCATATTACTAATATTTGCACAAGAAAATACATATTTAAATAAATTAGAGCTTTCTATTGCATTAGAAACCATAACTTTAATTTTTGTCAATGATAGTTTATCATTAAGATTCATTGTGGCTTCAATTAAATAACATTTTAATTCAATATTTTCTTATGTTTTAACTAAGTTTTAATACGGATTTAATGGAATCACAATTTAGTTCAATGACTTCTTATGTTTAAACTAATTTTCATCAGGTTTGCACAAATAAATGTAAGACAATCATTTATTTGATTATAGCTGTATTTCAGGTATTGCAAATACAGTACAACATTGGCTCAATGTTTAACCCATTCACAATAGAGTCAAACCACGTCAAGTGGGACCAGAAAATTTCACGAAATCACCGATTTTGAAAATAATCACATTATTGTGTAGTAGGCATGACTCATATGTCACAGTAAAAAAATTGTTTTAAAATTCGTTTTTTTGGTAATGTTATTAAGGTTGACAATTTTGTCAAACTTTAGAGCACGGTAAAATTGAAAAAATAGAATCTCTGGAACCACTATGTATAATTGAATTAAATTTTACACACTATTGTAGAAATGTTTAGACTATATAATGATCATTTAATTAAGGTTAATTTGTTTAAATAAAATAATTTTGCATACATTTATTATAAACAATTGAAATTTTGTATGTGTTCTTCACGCTGAAAAAAAAATTAATCTTGTGTCATAATATGCGGCAAACGTTTCCGTTTAATAAGATGTACTCAAAAATTTGTCTTTCCTATGTCATTCCGGAGATATTAATTTTTTTGTCCCGCTGTGCGCTTGATCAGTACGCGGCGCGCTTCGTTTTTAGCTCGTCCGTTCTAACGTTTTAACGGTGTGCCTGAACGAAGTTTAAGTCACATAAAAATGCCGCCAAAAACTGATTGTAGTTTCTTGTTCGGGACCCTTTGGTGACTTAAAAATGATATTTACCAAAGTTCTAGCTGCTACTCTTTTCAAAATTGTTCGAAAATTCATGATTTTTTTTTTTAATTTTTGTTTATCTCTTTGACAGAGTACACATTTGCACACCGATTTTTATAAAATAAGAGTAAATTATTTAGGAGACTTAGAGAATACTTTTTAATATTGTTCACATCATTTGATACATACAGGGTTAGCCAAAAATCACTTATTTTTAATAATGCAAAAGCGTAAATTCATGATTACTTATAGCATAACACGCGAAAAATATTTATCCCCATTTTTTTTATATATTTCTACGTCTATCAGGTTACAAAATTGCATTTTTATTAACATTTTACAAGAAAAATAGATTTGTAATAAAATTTAATAAAATAACGCTTAGAGAGTATTTAAAATGTTGTTTAATTTAGGCTTTTTAGTAGTTTTCAATTTTGAACGAAAAATTGGTTGAAGTTTTTTGATTGGCACTCTTTGGTAATTTAAAAAAGATATTTACCAAAATTCTAACTGTTTTTTGTTTAAATTTGTAAAAAATTCATTTTTTTAAATTATTTGTTTATCGCAAAGTCTACCTTTGCCAGAGTACACATTTGTACACCGATATTGTAAACGAGAGAAACTGTTTTTATACTAAGCACATCATTAGATTTATACAGGTTTAGACAAAAATCACTTTTTTATAGTAAAACGCATAATGCATAAAAAAGATTTTTCAAAATGTTTCGAAAAGGGGAGCAGCTAGGATTTTGGTAAATATTATTTTTAAGTCACCAAAGAGTCCCGAACAAGAAACTGCGGAATTGTTATGCGACTTAAACTTCGTTCAGGCACAACGTGTCCTGACGAGCTAGAAACGAAGCGCGCCGCGTACTGATCAAGCGCACAGCGGGACAAAAAAATTAATATCTCCGGAATGACATAGGAAAGACAAATTTTTAAGTACATCTTATTAAACGGAAACGTTTGCCGCATATTATGACACAAGATTAATTTTTTTTCAGCGTGAAGAACACATACAAAATTTCAATTGATTATAATAAATGTATGCAAAATTATTTTATTTAAACAAATTAACCTTAATTAAATGATTATTATATAGTCTAAACATTTCTACAATAGTGTGTAAAATTTAATTCAATTATACATAGTGGTTCCAGAGATTCTATTTTTTCAATTTTACCGTGCTCTAAAGTTTGACAAAATTGTCAACCTTAATAACATTACCAAAAAAACGAATTTTAAAACAATTTTTTTACTGTGACATATGCGTCATGCCTACTACACAATAATGTGATTATTTTCAAAATCGGTGATTTCGTGAAATTTTCTGGTCCCACTTGACGTGGTTTGACTCAATATAAAAGCTTTTTCTCTGTGGGTGATCTGATAACTTTGGACACGGTGTATTTGGGTCATTCCACATTCAAAAATTGCATTTTTGGTGTGAACCTTTTTTTCTGAAAGCTGAGAATTTTGTTCACAAAATATGTAATTCTTATATATGATGGGGATATTTTTTGTTTAAAAATAGCGTTTTTCACAAAAAACAGTTCTTTTTTAGGGGTGTGCGAATAATTTGAACTTACAAATTAATATTCGATTCGGAACTCGAATCGAATAATTCGAAAATTCGAATTATTCAAAAGTTCCCGAATAATTCAAAAAATTTCGAATAATTCGAAATTTTCGGAATTATTCGTATACTATTTAATATGTTTAATATTCAAATATGAATTTAACAGTCAATATACATTTTATTTAAACCATGAAATAAAGTTACACAAATGGAACAATTAGTATATTTTTTTTAAAGAGAATGAAATAACAGAAATTATATCGTAGCAAATAGAGTATTATGAAAAATAGAACATTTTGAAAATTTGCTACAAATTTTTGTTCAAAAATAATAAATACGATACTGAAACATTACATGAGTAACCTTTTTCTTATAGATTTTTTTTAAACAAAATTTAATTTTATTAATAAGACCAAAACAAATAGAAAATACCTATCTCTTGCCACTATTACCTAGATTTTTTATGTTACCGACAGAGATGAACATATATTGAAAATGAGCAATTGTTTTCTCTGGGTAATTGATTTTTAAACGAAAAGTATATTATTTGTAAGTAGAATATTTCGATACACGATTTTAAGGAATTTAAAAGGAAGCAATTGAAAATCCAGAGATATTTCATTAATTCGCGAATTATTTGAACATTTCATCATTCGAAATTTTCGAAATTTTTGAAATCTTTCGAAATTTTCGAAATTTTTCGAATTATTCGAAACTTTTTCAATTAATCGATTTTTTTTCGAATTATTCGTAGAATTTCGAATAATTTGAAAATTCAAATTATTCGAATCGAATATCAATGATTCGATTCGAACGATATTCGCACACCCCTATACTTTTTATATTTTTATTAAAAATTATACAGGGTGTTATGTAATTAATGTTATATATTAAAATGGGTGGTCCCTTAGGGTCCATAAAGAAGCACCTAAAACTTTTTTTTTCTAAATTCCAAAGGCTAAAAATAATTTATAATAACCTTTATCCTACCAAAAAGTACGCCACTGATCGACTAGGAAATTTAGGGTCTAATTAAACTTATTATGTTATGGTTGGTAACCCTGGTTGGTAACAACAGCGTTTCCAATTTCTGTGAAAAAAGTTGACAAACATTGTTTAAATTTAGCTTAATTACAAAAATGATAAAATTAACAATGCAAATTGTCAATTTGGCGTTTTTATTAATTGTTGGTTATGTCATTTTTGTACTGAAGGTAAATTCAAACTAAATCTGACAACTTTTATGATAGAATCTAGTGCATTTCTTTCAAAATTTAGGTTATGTGCTCAAATTGTAAATATTTTAACTAAGGGAAGTGCTTTTGGATTTATTTACACAAATTAAATGTTTAAAGTTTAACCTGTGAACTGGTCCCAATTTCATCTGAGTAAACAGAAAGAAAAAAACTGATGAAAAAATTAATTTTGTGGTTATGGATTTTTTAAAATAGGTACTAAATTTTCTAATCATTGCTTAAGCTAATAGCTGGATGAGTAAATAAATACAGAAGGGTATTAGAACTTTAAGGGCATAAAACTTGTATTTATTGAGTTTTTATTTATTTTTTGCAAGAAATTTTTTAGTAACAATTTTTTACATCTGGCAACGCGTAGCTACTTTGTTGGTTGGTATCTATGTACTCACAGAATACAAGTGTGCAGAGATAAACCAAGTGTGGCGTATCACAAAAAATATAAAAAACTTCTAATGCATATTTTTTTTATCTTTGGAAAAATATTTTTTTAAATATTTTTCCTTTATTCCTTATGTCAAAAGGTATTCAGTATTTTAATATATAACATTAATTATATAACACCCTGTATAATTAAAAAAAGGTCAAATTATTTCATTATTTTTTTTAGAAAATCAAAATCTAATTATATTTATTTATTACTAGGTAGTACATATTTTAAATTAAATCTCAATATAAATATACCTAATTAATTACGTATGTATTATACTAAGAAGCTTTTAGACTTTCTTTCGGTTTCGATTTTCTTTCGATTTCGAGTCAGCCGCTTCGTTATTCCCTCCGGAAGAGGCGGAACTTAAATCAAATTCGCTTTCTTGATCCTCTTGATCTCCCAACTTCGACTCATTAAAGTCATTACTTAATGTGTAGAAGCTTTCAGCCTCGTTGCAGTCGACGTTATACCACCAATCGCACACCAGATGTCGCTGATTAAAAACGCTCCCCGTCGGACACAGAAACGATATCTTGGAATATTCGGTTTCGCAGATGTGAAAGGCCTGAAAAAGAATATAATGTAATGAGCACACTAAATGTCCCAGTATTGTCTAAGAACCCCCACTAGGGTGATTCACTTCCGCAAAGTTTTTGTTTTTTTTCGGTGCTCAAGCAAAATATTAATCTGCATATAGGAAAAAACATTCTCACCAAGTTTGAGCTCTTAATATTAATTTTAAGCACTTACTATTTAAATTTAAAGTTTTACAGTTTAAAATGCATGTAAAAAATATTTTTTTTTTTTTCAAATTTATAATGCTTACCCACCTTTGACAATATTGCAAATCGGTTTAATACACCTTATGGGGAATTTCACGCTCTTTAAAATTGCTTTTGAGTTTTTTTTTGTAACTCGAATTGGTTCACCAGTAGGAGTCGTCAAAGGACAGTTTTTGAAAAAAATCGTTTTTTTTTATTTTTTCGAGCAAATCGCCAAAAGTAGTGAGAAAAAAGGACTGATTCATAAAAAAAAGTTATCCAACCAATATTTAATGAATTTACTGCCATTTTTATAACTGAAAACGTAAGAAATTGATAAATACCAACCCATAATGTTATTTAGATTGATTTTTTCTATTTATTATCATTATATTTCCCTACACTAAGAACTTTTTTAAAATTATTATGATTTCTCACTCATAATGAATATGAAAACAACACATAAATTCATAAAAAACAACAAAACTTTAATCAGAATATACAGAAGGTTATGTAACATATTTCAAATTTCGCTTCAAAAAATTAAATAATATTCATTTATATTTTTTTGCTATATGACAGAAATGTTGAAAAATTGCAAAATCCACGTTACACGGTAAGCATTAGAAATTTGAAAAAAAATATATATTTTTTACATGCATTTTAAACGGTAAAACTTTAAATTTAAATAGTAAGTACTTAAAATTTATATTAAGAGCTCAAACTTGTTGAGAATTTTTTTTTCTATATGCAGATTAATATTTTGCTTGAGCACCGAAGAAAACAAAAACTTTGCGGAAATAAATCACCCTATCCCTCACTAGTGCATTAAAATGAAAAAGAAATTTGGTTGAAACCGATGAAATAGATGTCAGATTAGGAAAAAGTGAGGTTAAAATCACAAGCAAGCTTGCGAGCGAGTGCTTAATTAAATTAGTGCCTACACTCAGAAAAATGTACATGCACTGATAATGAAACTAATTTTGTAAGCGATTAATAAAATAATACTATTTAACTTAAATTTAAAATTATAACGGCTATAAAAAAATTTACCATCTAAGGTACCTTTTTTATTATATTTTCAGTGTCTTATTTGGGACAAAAATCTACGATTTGTCAAAGTAATGAGATTATTTTTATTTACAGAATAAACTTTTTTGAGCTTTTATAAAAGAAATATTCATCCAACAAAGTAATAGTTGTTATCATATTGTCATGGCAATAAAAAACACTTAATGTTTATATTAAATCTTTGTCGAACTTAAAATATTTTTGTTAAATCTTGTTGTGTGTGAATTGCGCTTACATAAAGTAATGCGCATGTTATAGTAAAATTTGTTCATTTTACCCTGGGATATTTGTCTTTTTTAAATTACTATAGTTATAATTCAAATTAATTTTATTTCAGTTAGAAAATCTTTGTTAATAGCTTACGTTAAGAACAATAACAAAAATATTTTATTGCTATAAAAAGACTTTTTTAACATTTACCATATATTTGCTATGGTAACAAAATTTTTGTTATTTCCCTTAAAAAGAGGGGGAAAGGGCCAGCGCTCTCCTTGGTGAACATAACTTTATAATCCACAGTCTGTGTTATAATCTTATTGATTTCACTTGTGCGAGTAAATGCGTGTAGTTAAAAATATTAAGAAGATCACTAAGGGCCGGTTTTTCAATTAGGGTTTAAACCTTGGTTCAGGGGAACTTAGATCAGTTAATGAACTCAGTTCACAGTCAAATGAGTTTTTCAATGTCGACTCAACAGCAGTTCTGTTGAACTTAGATCAGCGGTGTCAACGTTAAGTTGGTACAACCGAATTTAGTATACGCCTACATTAATAGTAGTTAAAACTGTCATTTTGACAAAAAGATTTTGTGTTTACTTTTGGAGTTTTGTTTATCTGTGCTGTTTTAAAAAGTTATAATCTGTGCGAAAGGGTGCTTTAAAACAATTTACTATTGTTAAAGAACAATAATTATTATTTATTATGGATAAAAATCGTGCTGCCAACTTTACCTCTTTTAAGGAGGAATTATTTGTATGTATTTCGTTTTAAATTTTAAAATAAATTTGTCGTTTTTTGTTACATGTGATGAATTTTACTAAAATCTTTTACCTATTCAGTAATTATTTTTTAAACTAACCTATTGATCGGATTTGCAATAACTGGTCTAATTAAATCCACTATCCTACGTACAAAAGGTTTGGAAAACCGAAATCTTGCAAAAAATTCATCATTAATCCACCTTTCAAAATGATTCGGTCTTACCCGTGGCCTGTGCACACGAAGTTGAATATTATTTAGAAATTCGCCAATTTCCTCATCATCCTCACTAACTACCTCAAACATATCCATTGGTTTATTATAACAGCAGATTACAAAACAAGAAATAAACAACATAATAGACAATAAAGCAGAGAAAAATTAAGTTATGTCAAGTTGAACTTCGTTTAAACGGCCAACAGTGACAGTTCATCTTTTGATTTAGTTTAAACCAAATTCAAGTTTGAACTTTGATTGAAAAACGGTATATTTTGTTTGAACCAAGTTCAAATGCTGAACCAAGTTTAAACTGTGATTGAAAAATCGGCCCTAAGAAAATTAAAATTTCTACGTTTTCTAGTAGATATATCTAAGCCTTAGATTCTAAGGTCTATTCTATAAACGAAGTAGACTTGATGTTTAAAAAGTGAGTTCATATTTTTTTATTTAGTACATCATATAATATGAGTATTTTTTTTTTCTTATAATAAATAATTTGTTTTAATGCCTTGCAATTATTTCAAAAAAACTACCCAACACCCAACATTAGGTTGAAAATGTGTCCATTGTTACAAAATGGTTTATTGAATTAACAATCAATTTGTTGTTAAATTTACAGAAATTATATTAATATTATAAAAAAGTTTTATTTTAAACGAAAAGGAATTTGTAAAATTTACAAAATTTATATGAATAATACCATTAGGGTTTCATTAATACTACAAAACGTTTTTGTAAACGGCATAGAACTGTTTACTTTATTAAGACAAACTACTTTTTTTGTTTATGTTTATAAAAAAATTATCTGAGTGTATTATTTTCCAAGAAAGGCACTTTATTTTAAGGTTTTATGAAATTTGATAACTGTCAACTAACTTAAAACTAACTTCAGCCTGTGACTAAAGCTCCATAAAACCACAACAAGTTAATGTGTATTTAAAAGGTTACTTAGTTTCATGGAAACATGTACGATAATGGGCGTTTTAAAGGTGGGAGTAGAAAAAATAAATTAATTCGTAAAAAATATTAAATTACCTATTAAATTTTATGTTTTCTATATTGATTAAATTAAATATTTTTTATAGAAGCTGTAAAACATTTTAACCATTATAAAAATATTACGGTCCATTATAAAGGGTTCCACCTTTCTCGGCTTTAATATATAAACATTATATGTTTATATCAAAAGTTCTTTTATGTCACACTGCTAAGGTTGTAAACGTAAACATTTATATTTTGTCGTAAAAAAGGGTGAACTAAAAACAGTTAAAATTTATGTGCACAGTAACTTTGCTTTGATTTTGAATTCTTGATATGTACACATACTCGAAATCTATGGATCAATATTTTTTTAATTTTTAATTATTTAACCTTTGAGTCAGGCTAGCTAAAAGCTCTAAAGTTTATTTTTATTAGACACTTTATCATGTTAAATATCTGTACTCTTTAATATTTTGGTTATTCTGCGTATCTACAGAATTCATGTTATAACATGAATTCTATAGCCTGATTAAAGTGTACACTATAAATCACCAAATAATTTGTTTTTTTATCAATTCAATTTACGTATTCTTTAAGTTAAAATCATCCACAGCAGTACCGATAAGTTAAACAACTGGCCGACCCTACTTATTCCGAATAACTCATTTATGTTTTAATGTAATATACAGGGTATCTAGAAAATGGTTGTGTTATAGAGATATTAAGATTTTAACTTGTCAATTGTCTTAACTTGTCTTAAAACCTTTCTCAAATTTCCTAATATACAAGGTGTCCCTAAACTTGGTGGCATAAATTTAGAAGCAGATTAAGCAAGTCAAAATAAGACGAAAATCTAAATAAATATTTTTCCTAATTAGGTATGCTTAAAAGATACAGGGTGATAACGTGTTACTTATCATATCAGTTTTTTTAATATAACTTCCACTATGGTAGACTTGGAAAGGTGATATTTTGCGATCAGTCACTTACTACCAAACACATATTTTCATATAATTACAATTATTCGAGTGAACGCATTGTCATAGAAACAGGGGTTGCTTAAGCTAACTACATTTTTTTAATGTGACGGTCAGGGCAAAAAGTCTCGAGGCTCATGGAATGCTCTTTTTAGTTTTTTCAATTAAAAAATAAAGTTTGTTATCATATACCTTTTAATCCTTTTAAATAATGCGATATAACAATTATTGTAATCTCGAATATCTCGGAAACGGTTTATTTTATCGAAGTTTGAAAGGTACAACTTTTTAATGGTAGCCGAACTGTGTCATCGAAAAATTGTATCAAATGTTATAAAAACCTAACCTCAAAGTTTGTATGGGACAATAAGCTTAAAGCAACCCCCGTTTCTACGACACTGTGTTCACTCAAACAATTGTAATTATGTGTGAATATGTCTTTTGGTAGTACGTGACTGTTCGCAAAATATCACCTTTCCAAGACTACCATAGTAGAGGTTATATTAAAAAAAACTAATATGATAAGTAACACTTTATCACCCCGTATCTTGGAAACATAAGTATTTAGGAAAAATATTTATTTGGGTTTTTGTCTTATTTTGACTTTTGACAATTTTTTCCTACATTTATGCCAATAAATTTAGGGACACCTTGTATATTATGTACCAAGTTTGATAAACGCCATTTTAGCCACGAATTTAATTAAATTAGTGCCTAGAAAAGTTTATAAACGAGTTGCATACTATACTTTTTCTACGACAAATAGACCAGTGCAGAAGCCTTTAAAAATAGTGTTGCAACGGTTACGGTTACAGTTACGGTTAATTCACGGTTTTCGATATTATACGGTTAACCGTAACCGTATACGGTATTTACGGTTTTTCATCGAACACGTTTCCGCTTTTGAGATTGTTGGCACTAACGTATTTATTATGTTTAATATATATTATATTACATATTATGTATTATATAATATATTAAAAATTTACGGCAGTCAATTTTTGTATACAAACCATCGTCAGTGAATTCAGAGAGGTTGTTTTTTTAATATATTATTCAGGTACCTACTTAGTTTTTACTGTTTTTAGGTTTAAAATGTTACTCAATTCATTTTGTTTTACATAAATTATTACTTTCTTAATTCTGCATTTTTTTTTAATAACCGTGAATGTATTCGTAACCGTAGAGATAACCGTAATCGTAACCGTTACCGTAAAACCCGGAACCGTTGCATCACTATTTAAAAATGGTAAAAAGAGAAAAAAAATAACAGTAGGATGAAACCCATTGGAAAAGGAGGGGAATATAATAAAAATTAAAGGAAAAATAAATTACGGGCGATCTGAGTTCGGGAAGTGGGTTTAAGGGTAAAAAATGGTTTATCTCGATTTCTGGCAAAACTACGAGTCCTATGGAAAAAAGTTAAATGTCAAAGTTGTAGGTAATAAAAAGATCTACAACTTTTGTATTTACAATTTTTTCACATAACCTCAAAACTTATGTGAAAAATTCAAAAAACCAAGTTTTTGATTTTTTATTTTTATCTTTTTCAAAAAAAAAATTTTTTCCACGAAATTTGGTGAAAACTTACCTTTTTATGTCCCAAATACACTGTAATTTATTTGATTTGAAATATTTATTATTTCGCCTTATTTTGACTTAATATCAAAAAAGCACTCTAATTTTCAATCGAAAATTCTCGCGTCAAAATATCAGCTTTTTTCAAAAAGTCGGTGTGCTTTTTGTTCGATGAACTCTCTACTTTCTGATGGTGTAAAAAAAATATACATTACTATGGTAAATGTTCTCAGAAAATACAAAAAATATTATAATGAATAACGTAATCAAAATGAAGTATCTAAATTCAATAGTATGATTTACACGTATTTTTATATTTTATGAGATTTTCTGACATAAATGTTATTAAAATTTAATAAATAAACTTTTTAACTAAAAAAAATTGCAACAATCACATTTTTTTGATGAAATTGTACATAATGATTAAAATAAATTTTCGAATTCGAGTTTTTTTTCGTTATTCATTATAATATTTTTTGCATTTTCTGAGAACATTTGCCATAGTAATGTATATTTTTTTACACCATCAGAAAGTAGAGATTTCAACGAACAAAAAGCACACCGACTTTTTGAAAAAAGCTGATATTTTGACGCGAGAATTTTCGATTGAAAATTAGGGTGCTTTTTTGATATTAAGTCAAAATAAGGCGAAATAATAAATATTTCAAATCAAATAAATTACAGTGTATTTGGGACATAAAAAGGTAAGTTTTCACCAAATTTCGTGAAAAAATTTTTTTTTGTAAAAGATAAAAATAAAAAACCAAAAACTTGGTTTTTTGAATTTTTCACATAAATTTTGAGGTTTTGTAAAAAAATGTAATTACAAAAGTTGTAGATCCTTTTATTACCTACAACTTTGCCATTTAACTTTTTTCCATAGGACTTGAAGTTTTGCCGGAAATCGAGATAAACCATTTTTTACCCTTAAACCCCCCCTCCCACTTCCCGAAGTCAGATCGCCCGTAATTTATTTTTCCTTTCATTTTTATTATATTTTTCTTCTTTTCCAATGGGTTTCATCCTACTATTATTTTTTTTGGTTTCAAAAATTATCGACCCTGGTCTAAAATACTTAATATTATCTAAAAAATTATTTAAATAAACATTTTTGACATAATTTTCACCATTAACATTGCATGCTATTATTTTAATTAAACTTAACCATTGATACTATTAAAATATGATTATGTTAAGAAAATATTTTATCCTTTGATTTTTTTATTACTATAACTGCAAAATATTATCACAAAGTATTAAAAACTCTTATACGGGAAAATGTACAAAAAGTGACTGTTGTATTTATTGGAATTTCCGTTAGAATTTCTAACTTTCTATCCGCTTTCAAATCTCAAATTTTTCTGTCTAAATTAAAATTTATCTCTTGAAAATAGACTAAACATCGAGTAAGAGTATACACTATAATTTTCACATGTTTTATTTTATTTTACAAGAAAGGCAGTGCCTGACAACTGTCAACTAACTTCAGCCCGTGACTAAAAACTTGGTGCTAACTTCAGCCCATGACTTGTCAATGTGTATTTAAAAGGTCATTTAGTATCATGGAAACATGTAGGTACGATAATGGGCCTTTTAAATGTGGTAGTAGAAAAAAATTAAAAATAAACTCTAAAACCTTCTTAAAACTGTTTAAAATGTCCTAAACCGATTTCTGTGATGTTTTTTCGCGTAAAAATTTGTCCCCAACTTTGGCTTAACAATATATTGTGAATCACTAACTTGGCATCCGGTTTCCGGGTCAGCGTAGTATCGCCAGCTTAATTTTGCACGGCAGGAAAATCCAGTCTTCGGGACCTGTTCGTAAGTCGGAAAATCCGGAAAATTCGCATTAGCGGCCTCCGTGTCGCCTAAATGATTGGCAGCCTCTCTGCTGTCGCTCGAATCCTGAAAATCTCGTTCATTATCCTCATTAACGTATCTGCTCTCGGTATCATCAATCCGGCCGTTATTTATGTGTTTCGACTGAAAAATATTAAATTTTATTATTTATGTTTCCATGCTAACATTCACACCTATCACGGTGCTGTTCTGAGAGGTGATTTTTGGACTTTCTGTGAAACCTAATTTTTTTTATATTCTTGTTAATTAGGTTATAACTAAAATTTTAAGAGCAAAATAAAAAAAAATTGACGGTTAATTTTGTTTTAATTGGATGTTTATTAAAAATATGTATGCACACTTTCAAATTCTCCAATTAAAACTTGCGATTTTATTTAAATATTATCATAACTTTTTAAATCAGATTAAAGAATAGTTAATTTCCTAAAAAAAGGTCTATACATTTTTTATATCTTTTACTGTTTTGTTGTAATACACGTTTAAAGTTTTAATTTAAGGTTAAATGTATAGTATACATTTATTAAACAATAATTCTAAGGGTGCCACATTTTATTTAGGGCCGATTTATTCATTTTTGATTTATTTGACGAATAATTTCTTTGGATACTAGATATTGCCAAGACATGAAAGTTATCGGCCCGATAAACTTTACTAAAGATGAATAAACCGGTCCTTAGTTAAATTTCATGAATTTCTTCGTAACTTTTACTACAATTTTTTATTTTTGTTTATAAAAAACACTTTAAAAAACTTAACAAAAATTATAGAATACGTATACTGAAAACGTCAAATAAATTTTTAATAGATCTAAGTTTCATGGCAACCTTTAAGGATATATTAATTATACGTCAAAGGTTAGATTAAAAGTTTGAACGTTTATTGCAACAAAACAGTAAGTGCCGTTTCAGATGAAGCGTAGAACGCGCCCTACGTCCTGCGCCGCGCGTTTTAGGATCGGTCGGTTTTTGTTTTCACATGAAGCGGTATCAGTATAGACGTGTCTCGATCACAGAAATATTTCTGTGGTCTCGATACACACCAGGCGTTGTTGCCATTTCTGCGTATTGCCTAATTAATAAAATCCGTGAACGAAAAAAACGACTTTGGGTACATCCAATTGTGGAACAACGGTTACTAAAAGGTGCATTTGTCAGCCTGTATTTGTCCTTTTTCGGTAAGTCATCAAAATTCTCAATTAAAGCAACGGAGATTTTTTCTCAAGCCTTTTACAGTTTCGGATTTTATATTCGTCCGAAGTATCCCATATATTTTTGTTTTCGTGTACTGCACTTATTAATAGTTCTGTATCAATATTTAACTCCATGTCGTTCGAGTACATTTGCATAAATGCGTATGAATAAAACCGGGAATTCAGCTCTCCAGCCAACGCGCGACGCAGCATGTGAATAGCACGTATCACCACCATGCCCAAACGCCTAACGTAGCTACGTCGGGCGTACGGGCCACGCGCTAGCCCGCGCTGTAAATTTCACGCGCGCGTACACGCCGCGCGTACACGCCCGCGTCTGAAATGTACAATTACACTCGATGCCAACCGAGTTTCTGGCGTAGGGCGTAAGGCGCGTCATACGCTTCATGTGAAACGGCACTAAAATATATAAAAAAAAATTGTAAAAACCTTTTTTTTAGTTATGCAAATATTAAATATTTAAATTAAATCGCTAGTTTTAATTGGATAATTGAAAGAGTGCATAATATTTTTAATAAACAGCCACTTAAAACAATTCAAAACCGTCAAATTTTTTTTGTTTTGCTCTTAAAATTTTAGTTATGACCTTATTAACAAGAATATAAAAAAAAATAGGTTTCACAGAAAGTCCAAAAATCACCTCTTAGAACAGCACCGTGTACAATAATGTAAACATTTTTTGTAGGAATATATTAAGGTATACATTTTTAATATATTAATGTATGGGGAAAAATTTGCCAAGTGTACCAGGTGAAAAAAAATTTTGTCACCGATTTTGTTTAAACTTTACTTATTTGTTGTTCTTATAAGAACAACAAATAAGTAAAGTTTTAAACAAAATAACGAAGAATCATAAGCAAAATTTTTTTTGCTCTAGGATTGTTCATTCAAGAGTTATGGATTATTGAAATTTATCGATTTATTACTTTTTGGTGAAATCGCTTTTTATTTAAAAATTCATAACTTCTGTTCATCTCTTTATTAAATATTTCAATTTAACCATCTTAAATGATTTTTTCCGTACTTTTCAATGGACTATACCGTTTTTGCAAAAAAAAATTGAATTTTTTTTTTGAAATTTTGTAATATTTTGCATTTTTTTAAACAATGTGTATTTTTTAATTTTTTTTAAAATAGCATAAAATCCAAGTTTATTATGTTACCTTTAAATAAAAAAAATTTAGAGTGGGCCCGACATGTAGAAAGTTTTTCATATTTGAATGCGCGCGTGCGGTCTAGCCATCGAATAGCTAGTAGATGCGAGTAAACGAATACAAAATGATAATTTAAAATGTAAAATTATGTTGCCAATCGGCAGATTAAATATGATTTGTAGATTTCGTAATTCGGAGGATTTTTGGCGGATATTACTAGAATTATGTTAATTTTTATTTTTGTGGCTAAAGTAAAATACAGAAAGAATAAAGTGTTGGTGTTGTTTTTCTTCAATTTTTCGCCCTACCATACTTTTTAAATTAAATTAAAAAAAATCATATTTTAAGTAATGTCCGAACGGTGAATGTTTAGAGCTCGTCATGACAGCAAAAAACCGTTTATAGACATTATATATTATTAGCACCATTGATCTATTCAGCTTATAGACAAGCCGTTACGGTTATAACAATAAATTTTTTATTTAATATCATCGATCCTCCTTGAGAAATCTATGTAGACCCATGGTTTAAACAATTTGTACAAAAAAATTCAGTTAAAAAACTATATCGTGCGGCAGTGTAAATATTTAAAATATATCATTGACTACTCAAACATAATTTTACATTTTAAATTATCATTTTGTATCGTTTACTCGCATCTACTAGGTGCGCATACGGCAGTGTAGTAGCTATTCGATGGCTATAGACCCGCACGCATTCAAATATGAAAAAACTTCCCTTCTACATGTCGGGCCCACTCTAATTTTTTTTTTATTCAAAGGTAACATAATAAACTTCGATTTTATGCTATTTTAAAAAAAATTTAAAAATACACATTGTTTAAAAAAATGCAAAATATTGCAAAATATCAAAAAAAAATTGCGAATTTTTTTTTTTTGCAAAAAACGGTATAGCCCATTGAAAAGTACGGAAAAAATCATTTAAGGTGGTTAAATGGAAATATTTAATAAAAAGATGAACAGAAGTTATGAATTTTGAAATAAAAAGCGATTTCACCAAAAAGTAATAAATCGATAAATTTCAATAATCCATAACTCTTGAATGAACAATTCTAGAGCAAAAAAATGTTATGCTATGATTCTTCGTTATAAGAACAACAAATAAGTAAAGATTAAACAAAATCGGTGACAAAAATTTTTTCACCTGGCACACTTGGCAAATTTTGCCCCCACCTATAGGTACTTATTTTTTTATCTGTGTCCTGGATAATTAAAAAAATGATTTTTAAGGTATTTTTGGAAATCGGTTAATTTTCTACAAAAATCCATTTTTTTTGTTTTTTGTACATTTTATGTTTTTTTTTTAAATTTCTTTTATTAATTTTTGGCCTTTTCGTCCCTTTTCGCAAAAAAAAATAATAATTATCAGTAAAACCGTCTAAACTGTTGACTTTAGAAAAAAAGTTAATACATTTTTGTGGGAATATTAGTTCTCCACATAAAACGTCATAAATCGAATCTCTAAACTTAAGATTTTCTATGGTTACCACGTAATCTGTCATTGTTCAAAATTTAATGGCTTCAATTTGTCAGGTTGTTGTAAACAATTTGTTGACTAAGTTTTGTGTAAATAAAATTACCGATAAAAAATAGCAGTCAGTGACTTAAAAAAAAAGACAAGACATTTTTAAAGTTAGTAAAGTAAGTTAGCCTAATTTGTCCTGGATTTTCTCAGGTAATTTGTTGAAAAATGTTAAATAAATGACATGAAATCTTTTAAATATTGTTTTAAGATTCCAAAGTCAAGTCAAATTTTAACGAAAAAAATTCACTATTCACTATTCAAAATTTAAAAATGTAAAAATATATGGGGTGTTTTATTTGAAAACCGGAAATGGCATTTTGTTTATAATATTTTAGAAAAATTATAAACGCTTTTAAAATTTTAAATCGATATTTTTTTTCGTTCCCTAGAAACTTCTAATGGACCACAAATGTATGTAGATTAAATTATTATTCACAAGTTATAATAAATATATTAGCGAGCACATCTAAATCCGAAATTCAATCCCAAATCTAAGAGCCCAAACAACAATTAATATTATGTAGATATTCGATATGGGACTTACTAATTATAATTATTAAGTCCCTTGCTGTATTTACTGACGGAAAATTAAGTATTTACTTTTAATCTTATAGTTTTCTAAATGGGGCCGATCCTTTTCATCTGGCCAACAACAATATACTTTTATATTTACCCCATTTTACTTACGATTCGTGATTCACAGAGGCACAGACACAGGACCAACAAACACAAAGATTTCTCCACGAGCATGTTGGAAAATAGTCTTTTATTCGTATACTCAAGGTATGTCAATAATTGTCGATGCACCGTCTACGTAACAATATTGCATGCGACCTTTATAAGGAATCTTAACGTTAGATGCGGCTAAAAAATATTTTCGCAATTGATGCGCATTTAAAATGCATATAAAGGAAAGTGGTGGTCGCATCTTGAAGGCTGTCTGACATTTACCTATTGAACTGTTCATGCTGAAGAAAATTTCTATGTAAATATGAATTAATATTATTATATACAGTGTGTCCACGGATGGACTTAACTATAATTGTAAAAATATTTATTTTCAATTTTTCGAGGAAAAGTCATTGTTCATCATTTCTTTTGCTTGTTATATAAATACGATTCTCGTTGAAAAACATCCATTTTGTTGTACAGGGTGGGGAAAAATACAGATTTTTTTTGAAGCGCTAATATAATGAGCTGATAAGGAGAAATCAAAAAGTCAAATGATATTGAGATATTTGATATTGAAAATTTAAAATATTAGTTTTCAAATTTTAACAAATAATTGTAGACATTGTAGACATGTCAGTTGAAAGCAACAACCTTGATTCAAAATCACAAAATAAGATAGCATCAATTTCTACAAAATAATAGGATCACTCAAGTTATAACTAAGGCCCGGATTTTTAGGTCATAAAAAAGTGATAAAAGGTTCCTAAATTAGGTGATATTTTTAATAAAATAGGTTATTATGTTAGGTACCTATATTTTAGGTACTTAATTAAAAAGTTAATATTGGTTGGCCCGTATTTTTAGGTTATAAAAAAGTAAAAAAAAAATGCAAAAAATAGGTCGCATAGTTATAAAATTAGGTTATTATTTTAGGTGCGTACATTTTAGGTACTTAAATAAAAAAATAAAATAAGCTGATTTATTGAAATAAAATGATTTCATTATAATGTCGATATCGTTGTAAAACCATACATAGGTCTTATGTAGTTTTAGTTACATTATAATTGCTCTGTTAATGTACGGCAATAAAGGATTTAAATTAAAAATGAAATAGTTATTAAAATAATATTTAATATTAACATTAACTGAACAAAAAGTTTGGTTGGAAAAATAACAAATAAAATAAAAAATTCTTTAAAAAAGTAAATATATCATATCACAAATAATGTAAAATAGCAAAAAAAAACATAATAGGAACTCTAAAATCAAAAAAAAAATATTTATTAATTTATTTAACGATTATAATATATTATGCATGACAGACAAAATATTTCTCCAAGTTTTCAGAAGTAAAGCTAGTGCGTTTATCAGTCAAAACATTTTTAAACCAAGAGAATGATCGTTCAACGTCACAGGACGGGTAAAAAAAGTTCATTTTAGGTATTAAAAATACAATTTAAGTGCAAAAAAAGGAAAATAGGTGAAAAAATATAAAAAAGGTATTTTAGGTCAAATAAAACTTAGTCAGATGACTCCATTTTTTATAAAACGGGCAAATACAAAAAAATATCTTTAAAACCTAAAAAACCAACAAAAGGTGTTTTACCTAAAATCCGGGCCTTAGTTATAACTATAGGACTTGAATTGATTTTATTTTTAACAACAAATATCTTAGTAACAACAACTCACATGCAGTGCCGGTTTAACAGGGGTTTTTTGGGGACTATAGCACCGGGCGGTAAATATTTTTGGGGCGGTACCGCGTACCGCCCATAATTTAAAAAAAAATACTTAATCGTTAGAATTTAGAAAAAAAATTATTGCGACACTGCGTCGGCGGATACAACGGATACAAATGAGAAAAATGTTGTTAGAGTTAAAGCAGCTTCTCCATCAGAAAAACTTGATTTATTGGAAACGGAATAATTTGAACTTTTTGGATAGACGTTTTGCAAAGGGTTAATGAAACCAATAAAGCAGTCCAAAAACAAAATATGGATTTAAGCACAAGTGCTCATCTTTTGTCATTTTTAGTTGAGAACTTTGATTTTTTACGTGATATCATTTTGATCATTACGAGGAAATTAACAGGAAACAAAATTATCCTCAGAAGCGGATAATCATAAGAAAATTACAATTTGAAGAAAATAATTCAGAGGCAAGTTTAAGCAAAAAAGAAACAATGCGAACAATATGTTTTATTTTAATAATTGACAATCTATAATCCAAAATCATTTGTCGATATGATAGCTAGAAATCTGGCACAAACAAATTTGAATTTTTGTTTAATCTAAAAGCATAAATCTTAGTGGAGGATTTGGATAAGTTTTTTCCTTAAAAATGTGTCCAACTCAAGAAACTGATAACTTCCCTTTCGGAAATAAAAATAGAAACTCCATTGGAATTAGTATAAGTTTTATACGAAAATAAATTAATATCTTCATTTCCGAATATTAATAATTGTCTGCGATTTTTTTTTTATAATGGTTTCAAATACAAGTGGTGAACGATCTTTTTCTGCTCTAAAAAGGATAAAGAACTACCTAAGAAATACAATTCTCCAAGAAAAATTTAACTCCTTAGCAATTCTATCCATTTATCAAGACCTGCTAGATGAAATAAATGTAAAGTGTTATAAAACAATTTGCTACTATAAAGACTTGAAAACAACCTTTTAATTATTAGTATTGGGATTTCTCAATATTTATTTAAACCAAAAAATAATGTTTTATTTATTTATAACTTTTGATTAGTTTTTCTTAGTACTTAGTATTGTTTATATAAACCAAAGAATGTTTTATTTTTTATTTAGTGCTTTTGATTAGTTTTTATAATTTGTTTATAAAGGCTCATTTTATATTTTATAGGATATCTACTAAGTTTACTGTTAGATACCAGCCTAACCAACCTAATCTTCAACTTGACGTAAGAAAGTAAAACTTAAAAATTTAAAAATGTTTTTAAAAAAGTAATATTTTAAAGCATTGGGCGTTGTGTTTTTGACAGAACCGGGCGGCGAACTAACTTAAACCGGCACTGCTCACATGAAAAAACTTTATTTGGCTTTTTGGTTTCTCCTTACAAGCTCTTCATATTAGACCTTAAAAAATATATATTTAACAATTTTTAATTTTGCAAAATCTACAATTGTATTTTTTTGCGCATCCTGTATAACAAAATAGAAGTTTCTCATCGTGAATGGTATTTATATACCATACCAATCAGAACAAATTATGAGGAGTGAGTTTTCTTTGAAATATTTTTACAAGTATAGTTAAGTATATTTAACTTTTGCATATAAATTTTACAAATTTGGATGAAGTAATGCTATTATTGATAAAATTTAAAATTTGTTTGGAGAACTGTAATATCCATAAAATAAAATAAGTTGTTGCCCCTTTACCACCCTTACTCTTGGTCTTTATGAGTCCGGGTGCCGTGGCGCAAAAATGGATTTAATTAAGACCGGAGCGTCTGACGAAAAAAACGTAGGAGGCCATTTTTATGTAGAAGTAAACAGTTATTTATTGTAACACCTTCAAAATTAAGGATTCTTGATGTAACCTTCTGCTACACTATCTATAGATTACCACCCACCATGGCGTTTAAGGCGTCGGCCCCATCACCTACAAGAAGACTTCTTAGTATAAAAAGTGTTTTTCCTTTCAATTTGGTTATTTCAAAAATGTCTTTAATTCGGAGATTCGAATAGATTATGAAATTGTGATTCTAGCAATATGGACATTTATACCTTGGCTGATTTTTCGGAGATAATAATTATTAATAGTTTTTAATAATGTTTTGACCACAAAATTTAGAGGACTTGAAAAATCAAATTTGTGAAGAGAATATTTATTTGGTTATGTATCCATGAAATTTTCATGGTGAAAAGCATTTTTAAAATAATTTTCATGAGGTTAAAAAATGTTTTATTGGAAATAAAAATGTGCGGAATTTAAACGCAAAATCTTCATGTTCAGGGATTTTTTGGGGAAAAAAGGAACACATTTTTTAATGAATTTGTTCCATATTTTTGCCGGTCACTGTATAGTACCCATCATGAAATCCTTGTTAGACATATTAATGAAAAATGCTTGTCTTGACGTGTCCGACGACCCCTTATAGTCCGGGAGGCAGTGAAGATTTTTATCTTCTTATTTTCCTAGTTTGTGAATGTCATTAAGTTTGTTCAAATGGTGACACAAAACGACAATTTGTGGGTCTGGCTAAAATTTTCGGATGGGTTCACTAGATGAGCCAAAAAGTCAAGTCCACTTATTTTCCCAGTCATAAATATTTCACATTAATTAAAGTGAGTCATTTTATTAATGGAAATAACAGTCTGGCACATCCCAAGTGAAGGAAAGTCAGTCTGGCTGAAAATTTGCGGAAGCAAAAATTTGACCGGTTTTTGAAATACGTAGCCCTTATTTTCCCATGCTTAAAATTTAACCCATTATTTGGTACTGTCATAAACTATAATCAAAATTAAGTCTGGCTGATTTATGAAATTGGCAAATTGTTCTGGCAGCATCTTGAAAATCGTAAGAATTACAAAAATTTTGCTCTTATTTTCCCGGATTTGAAAATTTGTCACATGATAAATAATACTATAATTTGGTAGAAAATACACGTCTGGCTGTTATTTACAATCACGAAAGCCCCGCCAGACTCACAAGTCAGATAGTTAAATGAGGAGAGGAAGCGACGGGTGCTTATTTATTTAATTTAATTTATTTAGGTAATAATAACGACGCTGGAATGCGAGTGACCTGAGAACAGCCTTATATCCCTATCTCTATCATTTTGTAGAGAATCCTACAAAAAACAACTGCACAAATTTTCTCGTATCTCTGATAGTTACAAAGTTATTCGCGAATAAAGTTTTTTGATGGCGGACGGACTGACATTTTTTTTAGCCATATTTAAATTTTGCTTTACACAAATTATTTTCTTATCATACATTATGAAAAGTAAAAACATGTAGAGATGACAACAATCGCCTGTATAATTGAACATGCCGAATTTAGCGCGCCTGTGGAGGGTTGGACGAGTCTGGCAAGGCTTTCGGAGTGTTTCACATTAGCCAGACTATATTTGCAGCTGTAATTATAATATAAACTATCATCTCACAAAATTTTTAGGACTGCGAAAATAAGGGCAATGGTTTTGATAATTTTTCCACCTGCCAGACATATTACCCA